TCTCGGCCGCCCCTGCGCCCCAGCTGCGCTCCGCCTCGGGCGACCGGTGGGCGTGGGGACGTCGTGACGTCCCCGGCCTGACCGCGGCCCCCGTATAAGAAGCCGCGCGCGCTCGCCCTCGCACCAGTGGCGGCGACGACATGGAGCTGCTCCGCACCATCGCGGTACCGCCGGCGGGCGCCAAGGGCGGCGAGCAGCCGGGCCGGGCGGGCGGGGACCCGAAGCGCCGGCGGCCGTCCCCCGCCGAGGACCCGCCGCCCCGGGCGCTGGAGCCGCCGGCCGTCCCGCAGCCCCGCCACCACGCGGGCGCCGAGGTGTCCCGGGTCGTCTTGGACCCCACGACGGGGAGGCGCTTCTGTTTCGGCCGGGTGCTGGGCAAGGGGATGGCGCCGCCGGGGCTCCCGCGGGGAAGGAGCTTGGGGAGCACCCTAACCCCGCTTTTCTTGCTGATTTTTGCTGGATTTTAGATCGGCCCGCCGCCCACCGCTCCGCCAGCTCAGTTCCGTCTCGGCTTTGTTTCCTTGCAGGGCGGCTTCGCCAAATGTTACGAGATGACGGATTTGACCAACAACAAAGTCTACGCGGCCAAGATCATCCCGCACAGCCGGGTGGCCAAGCCCCACCAGCGGGAGAAGGTGCGTGCGGTGGGGGCGCTCGGCGGGGCCGCGGGTGGGAGCCGCCTGCCGCGGCCGGCGGGGCTGAGCCTGTGCCTCCCGCAGATCGACAAAGAGATCGAGCTGCACCGGCTCCTGCACCACAAGCACGTCGTCCAGTTCCACCACCACTTCGAGGACCAGGAGAACATCTACATCCTGCTCGAGTACTGCAGCCGGCGGGTGCGTGCGGGGCGGGTGCGTGCGCGCGCGGGGCGGGGTGCGCGCGCGCCCTGGGCGCCGCGGGCGCTGGGGTCCGTGTGGGGGTGAGGGAACCCCACATCCTGAAGCTGACGTCCCCGCCTGACAGCGCCTCCTTTCCCCTCCCCCCAGTCCATGGCTCACATCCTGAAAGCAAGGAAGGTGCTGACGGAGCCCGAAGTCCGATACTACCTCCGGCAGATCGTGTCGGGGCTGAAGTACCTTCACGAGCAGGAAATCCTGCACCGGGATCTCAAACTCGGTGAGTCCTTCCCTGGGACACGGACTTGCTGGAGGGGCCCGTCTTCTCTCGCTCCCTGACACATGCACGCCCCCCCCTCTCCCCCCCCCCCGCCCCCGGATCCAGCCTTCAGTCTTGTGGTGAATGGGGGGCTTGAATAGTCAGCAGCTGGCCGCTTGCCCCCAAAGCGTGTGTGTGCACTTGGTTCGAGGGCCTTCAAAGGACTCAGGCGCGTGCTGTTTGTCACCCAGGGAACTTTTTTATTAACGAGGCCATGGAGCTGAAAGTCGGGGACTTCGGTTTGGCAGCCAGGCTGGAGCCCTTGGAGCACCGAAGGAGGTGAGAGCCAGAAAGACCCCTCCCCCTGGGGTCTGTGCAGATCAGACACCCCGTTATTTCCCAGTTGACTGGCAGAGAAGGTCAGTGGATGCTCAGTGTAAAAACCACCACAGTGTGAACTTGGGTCCACGTGGGGCCAGGGCCAGCGCCCTATGTCTGCACGTTGATCATGAAATAAACCTGTCCTCAGTTTGCCTGCTGTGAGTAAAAGGCCTGGTCCCAGTTAGTTAAAACACCTAGTCCATGTGGGCGGAGGAAACTGCATGCCTTAAAAAAAAATACCAAGAATCACTTGGTCAGATGCCAGTTGTTCAAATGCCAAAACCAAAAGTCAAATGTTTCCAAATAGAAACTCCACACAGTGCTTTCAAGGTTTTATCGAGGGAGCCAAATTCAAACAATGGAACAGTCCCTAATGAGCTCTTCCTATTTTGTCTTTGCAGAACAATATGTGGTACCCCGAACTATCTCTCCCCCGAAGTCCTCAACAAGCAAGGGCACGGCTGCGAGTCGGACATCTGGGCGCTTGGCTGTGTAATGTAAGTAACTGCACCTCAATGACCAGAAGCAGATGTGGGGTTAGGTTTTGCTGTTTGAGAAGCGTGGCTGTGTGACCGTTCCTGAAGACGAGCTTCCTTTCCCAGGTATACCATGCTACTAGGAAGGCCCCCGTTCGAAACCACGAATCTGAAGGAAACGTACAGGTGCATCCGAGAAGCCAGGTACACCATGCCGTCCTCCTTGCTGGCCCCTGCGAAGCACTTGATAGCGAGCATGTTGTCCAAAAACCCCGAGGACCGGCCCCGCTTGGATGACATCGTTCGCCATGAGTTCTTTGTGCAGGTGGGTGTGTCTCCTGGGTCTCTGGGTGACATGCTGTGGATACCCGTCGCCAGCGGGTTACTGACAGCCGTTCTCACGCCCCACAGGGCTTCACTCCCGACAGGCTCTCCTCCAGCTGCTGCCACACGGTCCCCGATTTCCACCTGTCCAGCCCCGCAAAGAATTTCTTTAGGAAAGCCGCTGCTGCTCTTTTTGGTGGCAAAAAAGACAAAGCAAGATACATTGACACACACAGTAAGTTTGAAGACCTCTCACTGTTCTGAATCAATTGTTATGTTTAAGTTGGATCCGTTAGTTCAAAGAGGCTTTGGCAGTGGCGTAGCGTAGCCAGTATGTTTGTACGCTCTTGCACTTCGTATGGCACAATAAATCCGCACTGCAAAACGGGGTTGGTGGCTTTCTGTGGGCAGGCAGTGAAGTGTGCTTCTTGCATAATTGAAGCTAATGGCAGCGATGAAAATGCTGTTTTTGCCCTGGATGCTCAGAGCTCGTTATTAATGCAAAGCGAGGAAGTATGCTAGCTCTGTTCCTACCTGGTGAGGATAGAGTAACGCTCAAAATCCTTGTCCTTGATTTGCAGATAGAGCATCTAAAGAAGATGAAGACATTTACAAGCTCAGGCACGATTTGAAAAAGGCTTCAATAACGCAGCAGCCCAGCAAACACAGGACAGACGAGGTATGCTGGAAGAGACCAAAGTAGATCCTGATGCTTTATATCACTTCACTCTGTTCACTGTCGCTTGCTCTGGGATTGTCCTAGTTCGGGCATGTCAGTGTGTGTATTTTCTTCCATCCTTTACCCTTTGAGAGGAAAGATTTCTGTCTTTCAGTTGAACAATGCATGCAATGGAGCTGCTGCAGTAGCTCTTACCTGGCCGTGTCCACTGCTCTTACCTCCATGTCCACTGCTCTTACCTGGCTGTGTCCACTGCTCTTACCTGGCCGTGTCCACTGCTCTTACCTCCATGTCCACTGCTCTTACCTGGCTGTGTCCACTGCTCTTACCTGGCCGTGTCCACTGCTCTTACCTCCATGTCCACTGCTCTTACCTCCATGTCCACTGCTCTTACCTGCTGTGTCCACTACTTTGAGAAGCTTTCCCAGCAGTGGCCAGGATCTCCTCTGAACCTGGACTTCTCAGGCCTAAGTGACTTTCAGGTGCTGGACTCATTGTGTGGTTCTCTTCCAGGAGCTCCCTCCGCCTCCCGCCACAGTGGCCGGGTCGGGAACGGCTGTGGTGGAAAACAGGCAGCAGGTTGGGGACGTGATTCGGATGATCGTCCGAGGGACCCTTGGCAGCTGCAGCAGCAGCAGTGAATGTAAGTGATGCCAACGCTTCCGGCCGTGAAACGTCGGTGCCGGGCTCAGCACTGGGTAACAGGCCCTTCCCCTGCACTAACTAACGTGCCATTGAAGGAGCAGGCGGAGGGCCTGGGAGCAGTCTGGGCGGAGTTCTGAGTTCCCTGTCCTTAGGAGAATCAGTGAAGGGAAACATGGCATCTGCCGGAGCCGAGCGGCTTTGTTAATTATTCCATCACTTTCTCGACTTCCCAGGCCTGGAGGACAGCACCATGGGGAGTGTGGCGGACACGGTGGCCAGAGTCCTCCGCGGGTGCCTGGAGAACATGCCGGAGGCCGACTGCATTCCCAGGGAGCAGCTGAGCACCTCCTTCCAGTGGGTCACCAAGTGGGTCGACTACTCCAACAAGTACGGCTTCGGGTACCAGCTCTCCGACCACACGGTGGGCGTCCTCTTCAACAACGGCGCCCACATGAGCCTCCTTCCAGACAAGAGGTGAGTGGCACGCGCCGTCCTGCGCACCCGGCCTCGCGCTGAGACTCGGAAACAGTGACTGACGCGTCTGTCCTCCCCGCCCACAGGACCGTCCACTACTACGCGGAGCTCGGCCAGTGCTCTGTCTTCACAGCGACAGCCGCCCCTGAGCAGTTCATCAGCCAAGTGACGGTGCTGAAGTACTTCTCCCACTACATGGAGGAGAACCTGATGGACGTAGGTGCTGGGCTCAGAGCAGATGCTGGGAGGGGGGTCCGGCCGGGGCGGCTGCATGGCCTCGGGGCTGTGGGGGGCAGCTGGGGGGGAGGCAGGCCACCGGAAATCTGCTTCCTTTGGAGAGGCACTTGCCTCCAGAGGAACGGAGTGCTCGCTGCAGTCTCTGCAGTCCCCTCTCTGCCAATCTCTTCAGGGTGGAGACCTGCCCAGCGTGACTGACACCCGGAGGCCTCGACTCTACCTCCTTCAGTGGCTCAAGTCCGACAAGGCCTTAATGATGCTCTTCAATGATGGCACCTTCCAGGTGAGCAGCCCTAGGGAAGGGCCGGGGGAGGTCCTGCAGAGTTACTTGCACTTGCCGTCTAGTCCAGGACCCGACGTTCCCCATTCATGTTCAGAGACCTAATCATGTCTTCGTTTCCTCTCCAAGGTGAATTTCTACCACGACCACACGAAGGTCATCATCTGCAGCCAGGACGAGGAGTACCTGCTCACCTACATCAACGAGGACCGGCTCTCCACCACCTTCCGGCTGACCACGCTGCTGGTGTCGGGCTGCGCGCCGGAGCTGAAGCAGCGGATGGAGTACGCGCTGAACATGCTCCTGCAGAGATGCAACTAGCGGACTGGGACGGGGGCCCGCAGCTCCTCCCAGGGAGCCATGCGGCACGGAAGGTTCCGCACGTTGTGAGGCGGGCAGCGGAGGTACGAAGGCCGTCCTTCTGGCTGCCGGACTGTCTGAGGATGCCGCTCTTGACCGGGACAGTCCGAGTGGGAACCCGAGTGCAGGGACCTGTTTTAAAAGGTTTTCCGGACAATTTCAGAGAAAGGTGCAGAGGACGGGCTGTGACCTCCTTCCCGAAGGGGAGGAGCCGCGTGGAGAGGCTGTGACGGGGCAGCGTTGAGCTGCTTAACTGTGAACTAAGGCCATCGACAATGTTTTTGGTTACTTTTTAAGACACTTGTGGCTGGAAAAGTGCATTCCTTGTTAATAAACTTTTTATTTATTACAGCCAAAGAGCAGTATTTATTATCAGATTTTTTTTTTATGTTGACCATTTTAAACTGTTGGCAATAAAGCTCATGGAAAAGCAGCAACACTTGTCCAGTGGTCTGTCTGTCATGGTGCGTCGCTGGGCGCAGCCTTCTTCGGTCTGGACTCGGCATTGCATGGGGCATAGACGCGCACTGGAGAGTTAGATCTTGGCTTTTCTACTAGGTTCAGGCAGGCAGGTAGATCTCGCTTGACGAGAGTGTAACAAAAATACTGCTCTCATTGCAAATACAGGCCTCCTACTAACTCCACAACCAGTTTCTCTCCGGAGGGTTCAGCTCGGAGCTGAAGCTGCTGGGATCTGTGTAAACAGACTCTGTTATTAGTGTCAGGAGGTTCAGGAAGTTTATCTTAATATGGACAAAATGCTATGCTGTGTGTGCCCGCACCTCCAAGTGCATTACTCACCCGAACCTGCCCCAACGCCTCCCGCGCCACCGGCAGGACCAGCGCCCTCTCCATGGGGGAAGGGCTTCCTACATGGTCGTTCTGTTTGCCTTCTGGTGCGCGGTGGCGAGGATGGCCTGGGAACCAGCTCTGCTTTCAAACGATCAAGTCATCCCAGAGCAGACCAAGCTTCTCTTCAGTGGGACCTGCCCTGGGACAGGCACGGAAAGCTGCCCGGCCTGTTCCCTGAACCTGCAGTGACCCATCCGAGAGGCAATGCCTTGTGCTGGGTGGTGACCTGCTGTGAGGAAGGTGCTGTCCTGAGAAGTCGGCATCTCTCACATCCGGGCGAGGGCCGCGCTGGGATCCTGCACTGAGGTGGGATCGTCCACGTCTCTTAAAATTATCACCAACTGCTCCTGACGTGTTTTATTACTAAACGTCAGATCTGGAGAATTTGCCTTGGATATTCCTCAGGTCCTAGTGGGCTGGAATGCTCCGGCTGTGCATACAATGTGAGTCTTTGTTAAATGGCTTAGAGTAATAGCTGAAAAAAAAATTACACTAATCGCTGGGTGTGCAAAAGTAGAATCTATTCTAGGCAGAGAAGGAAAAAGCAGGAGCTGGCAAATGGTAGAACATGTTCTTTCGCTTTGAGTTGCACAGTGTCAGGCTATATATTCTTTGCAGCTTGAAAACATGTGCTTGTCCATCGTGTGTGCGGAGGGTCCCTGGGTTGGAGGTGTGGAGTAAACCCACACCCCTCCCTGCCCGCAAGGAAGTCCCGGCGAGTGGAGGAGACAGTGCATTTACTTATTAGCCTGATACATGCCGTGATGTGATGATCCAGGTATGCGCTGGGTGTTCTGGGAACCAGCCGAGACTAGGAACCATGAGGAAGGAGCCCCAGGCGTGGGTGGGCGCAGAGACTAAATTCCAGAGGAGGAAGTTCTTGTTCGTTGGGCTTTGAAGATGAGTGGGGTTAGGAGAGGAATGCGCAGGGAAGGGTTCTCAGAGTGGGAATATGGGCACGGTGCCCGAGGACGAGCCCTCACAGTGCCAGTGGGTGTGTCGCCCGGCAGGTAGAGGCTGGAAGGAGCAGACGGCAGGCCTTCTGCGTGCCGCCCGGGCTTGTGGGCTGCACCGAAGGTTATGCTGGTCACAAGGTTTTGAGGAGGAAAGGGACCTTGTATTTCAGTTTTAGGGAATTCATTCTGGGGCAAATGCACGGGAAGAAGGTGGAGAAAGAAACCGAACTGCACAGCGCTTAGCGCTCTGATCCAGGTGAGAAGGGAGCGAATGGCAAGGAGGATGTGGAGGTGCCCCCTGGCTCATGGCAGCGTCCTGGAGCTGGGTACCAGGCCTAGCGGAAGGCGGGGATACTGAGGGAACAGCGATGACAGTAGGTTGGGGAGGGATTTGGAAAGAGGACTTGCAGAGCCTCGGCTGATTGACCAAAGCCTGAGGAAGAGGGTGGGGCTCAGGATGATCGGCTGGAGCAGTCCCTGGGGGGAGGGGTGTTGTGTGGGGCTGGGGACGGAAATAAATGAGGAATACAGAAGGAAGAGCCGAGTCAGGAAAGGATGGTGCGTTCAGGACGTGCTGAGTCAGACCTGTGTGAAGATGCCCAAATTGGTCCAGAGAACAGTTGAATATACACGTCTATGTCTTGAGAGAGCAAGATTGGGGAGTAGCCAGGCTTGGGCAACATCATAGGAGGGCAAGAGAGCACAGAGGATGGGTCCCTGTCACCCAGCCACATTCCTACGGTGCTGAGGGCAGCCACAGAGGACACAGCAAAGCCGTGGAAGTGGGGGAAGGAGGCTAAAACATCCCCAAGACATTCTACTCCTCCAGACCAAGGGAGCCTGCAGTCCGTGAAAACACCAACCTGACAGCTGCGCTTCACGAGCCCCTTCGGCCTCGGGAATGTCTCTCAGCCGCCTCCAGTCCTGGAAGCAGATGGGCGGAGGGAAAAGGCGGTATCGGAAGGCGCCCTGACTTCCACGCGTCCTCACGAAATGAAAGGGAAGGTGAAGTCGACATGAAGGCTCGGGCACTGCAGAGCCAGGTGGGGAGTGGCCAGCAGACTCTTGGCTGGAGTCCATTGTCCAATAATTGTCATCATTGACCCACTGGGAGCTTTCAGGCAAAAGTGAGCATTTCCAACTTCTTTTGAAAAATGTCAAGATCAGGCAAAATTGAGTTTGCATTTCTGCGTAAGGCTGGTCAGCTGGAGCCGAGAAGCACCCGCCCCTGAGGGAGGGACAAGCCCTCCCCAGGGTCCTCACCTGATTGCTTTTCTCACCTGACCCCTCCCCTCACCTGGCCGCTCCCCTCACCTGGTCCTTCCCCTCACCTGGCCCCTCTGGACCTGTGAACGAAGCCTCTCTTAGAACCAGGTGAGACTGAGGAAACCTATCTTCAAATTCTGATTACAAAAGCTGGTTTCATGTCTATAAATTTCTTGTTATTCAAAAGAATAACAAAGGAGAAATGACAATGTAGGTTTTCTCTATTTTAATATTGTCTTTATTAATAATTCCCTGTCCATTACCTCTTTGTTTCATATTTTGGATGAATTGGGGGAAAGTGTGGGTTGGATGTTGAAGGTCAGGTGAGCTGAAGGGAAGTGAAGCAGTAAGTCCTGACACAGACAGATGAAGACCTACCAAGCCTTCAGAGCCGTGGGTTTCACCAGAACGTGCTGGACTTCTGTTCACCAGGATTTCTACCTGACCAGCAGAAGGTGGTGAAGGTCATCTCACATAATTCATGAGGAAATTCAGGGTGAAGGTGAATTTGGAGGTTTTGTAGAAGAGGAACAAGAGATCATTCCTCATCTGACTTGCACGCTGGTTCAGATATAAATCTTGTTAGCAGTTACCATAACGGTTATGGTAACCCATCCCCGCTCCCTTCTGTCGACCTGCTGCTAGACCCGGTTGTTGACTCAGAGACGCCTGAGCTGTGGGCTGGCGGCTGATTGTTCGCTCCCTCCCACCTGGGTAGAGGGGGAGGCAGGGCATTGAGGTGGACCCTGCAGCAGCGGCCCCTGCCCACCTGGGCTTGACCTTGGGTCTCCTGTTTCCATCCGCTGCCCTGCAGGCCTGCAGCTCTGCCACAGGGATTAGGACTAAACTCTGAGGAATGTTCTCCTTTGGGATCAGTCACAGGGAAGGGCAAGTGACTAAACTGGCCCAAGATCAGCACCAGGCTTTTTGGTTTTATCTAAATAATACACTCTGAGTTGAAGCAGTTAAATGTTCCTCCAAATACAACGTTTGTACCTGAAAAATAGAATAACCTCTGACATTTGTGCAATCTGACATATTGCTCTCAGGTTCACCCCTTCCTCAACAAATGTTCGCCTTGCTTTGCTCAAGTTAAAACGATATACTGGACGGTACAGAACTGGTGTTTAACACAATAATTTAAAAACTGCATTAGAAAACATCATTGCAAGTAGACTTTGATAACTGCATTCAGAAATAGCAATGAAAACATGATTGTTCATCTGAACCTAAGAATGTAAGTTAATACATTTCCAAAGTCCTAATGTGTGAAAAAACCATAGTTTACCTCAAAGGAAACATGCAAGTCAAAACTTACGGCAAAAACAAAGTTCCCCAAATAAGAAACATTTGTGGCTGAAACAAAAAGTAAAAAATTATGGAAATAGATGATGTGGCAGAAAAAGCTTAGACTTCTCACCAGGCCTCAGGCTGGATGCAGCCGGGCCAGTGCTGCTGGCTGATCCTGAGCAGCCACCCCGGTTCCGATGTCGCGCCGCTGCGAAGCAATGATCACGATAAAAACTGTGTTAGAATCTATTAGGTCGATCAGTGTCATGCTGCCAATATCTGACCATTTTTGACCTAGAACAAAAGCTATTTCTGGTCATTCAGAAGAGGAGAAATGACCATGTACGTTTTTTCCCCTTGTTGAACCTTGTCTGTATTAATATTTCCCTTGCCCATTGCCTCTGGTGTCACATGGACCTCAGCGGTTAGCTATACCCCACATGACCTTGTATCGTCGTCATTCAGTAAAAGGCACAACTTAACAACGTAACCGTTCTCAGCACTTTTCATGCGCAGTCGCCATGTCGTCATGCTCCTGGGAACCACGTCCAGGGGCTCCAAGTGGGCGCAGTTTTCTTTCTATGACTGACAGCCGTGCAGGCAGGTCACGCAAACCTTCCCCACGCGTTGCGTTTGCCTTTGAGACTTTCTTTTACGTCCCCTCACCCCCATTCAGAACATATTCCCCACTGTTTTCTAAGGAACAAAATGCCTTTGATGTCAAAATATCCCCTGTGAGACATAGCCATTGAATTTGCAACGTCCTCTGAGAAGAATACATCTCACTGATTTTTTAAAAATATTAAAATACTCTGTGGACTGTGGTAATGCTCTAATGGAGATAAGAGCTTAAATATATCCACACCATTTTATTGGGGGGGGGATCAATATTAGCTTAAATGCCAATACTAAGTCTACCCAGATGTCACAATTATTTTTCCAGGAAAGGAAGTAATAAAATAATATTCTCCTCAGTTCCTAGATACACCAAAGAATTCCTCCTTGCCCTTGGTGCATTGTGACTTACGGGTGCGTTTAGAACTGCAGTCGCACTAGTATCATGGGCTCC